AAAGCTGTTTGTTCACATCAGGCTGCAAGGAACAGATTGTTTGTCACTACGTGGCTCTTATTTTTTCATTTTGGAGTTTATTCTAGTGCCAGCTCTCCATGACAGATAAGATCCCTGTTTCTTTCCGAGATGGACGTGCTTAAGCCTTGTTACACTCACACTCCCTTCCTTGCTTCAGTGTTTCATGCTCTTTGCTCGGGATGTTCCTATAGTTGAGAATTACATCCCTTTCGGGGTCTGGAGCACAAAAGTGTGACTGCCAGGCAAAGGGCATGGGCTGGTAGCACAATAGCTGTTTAAGTGGAAAAAAGTCTGGGGTAAAGTGATTGTGATTAGGCTGGAAAATTAATGAGGAAGGGGAGAAAAAAGAAATTTAGCTTTGAGTGTCCAGCAGAATTTGTCAAGGCAAATCAGACCATCTCAAATCCACAGTGACTAATTCCAGGGTCACAAGATGTGACTTTGCTAAAACAAGGGAATGAGTTCAGTAAGCCAGAAGTTTTGTGGTTTAGTGGGTTTTGTTTGGTTGGTTTGTGTTTTTTTTTCCCCCCTACTTCTCTTGGTTCTAAAAAGAAAAGAATGCAATTGGAAACAGAGGGGAATCAGGAGAAATGTGGCCACGTGTCCTGAGAGACTTCCCTTCCCTTTTGTCCCTTTGAAAGAAAAGTCCCTAATCACCAAAGCACAAACCTGTGGGACAGAAATGGATGGTCAGGTCTTAGCCCTGCTGCAGGGAAGTAGGGAAAACCAAGACTGTAACCCAGGATGCCTCACGCTCACGGTAGGAGCTGGGTCTCTGTTTTTAACCCAGGAAGAGAACACACTCCTCTCCTCCCCAGCCCTGATTTGCTCATGCTTCAGAATGATTAGAGAAATTAATTTAACTTTGCTAAACTCATCTTGAAGTAAGCATTTACCACCGAAAATGTCAACCCTTCTGAAAGAACGCGTTATCCTGGGATATTGCAAGAAACTGTTCCAGGTAAAGCATCGTGATAACACACTAACTAGTTGAGTCAACTGGTTTTCAAAGTCCATTCTAAGGTCTTTAACTAATACGCTGTTGTACTGATAGCTATGAGTTTCTGACTTCTATTCATCATTTACTGCTGACTTTTTTAAAGCTTTTCTGCAGGTATTAAATCACAACATCACAATCACTAAAAAGTCAGTGATGTTAGTAAATTACTTAGGTTTTCTTTTTTTTTTTTTAACTCTCTACTCACCTATTATTTCTTAGGAGGAAGCTCACTTAAGTTTTCACTGGAATGTGTGACTTAGAGCTTTGTAAAAAAGAATAAAACTTAAACTGACGTTGTTTATTAACATCCTACTTCTTGCAGGAGATACATAACATCTTTTCCACACTTGACCCAGTTTGAAAAGGCACGCTATATGTCTTTTGAGTCTGTAGCTTGGATTACAAGAAAAAAATTAATTAGAATATGGCCTTTGTCTGAGAGAGGAACTGACACGCATTTATTAAAATCTGTAATCCATCACGGTTGAAGATTATAGAAGATTTTTTTTTTTATGATTCTTATTTTATTCTAGATCAGAACCAATATGTGTGAGTAAAGAGATTATCCTAAGCACTTATGTTTTAAATAACTTGTCAGCATGCTAAGATGATGAATGTGATTACAAACATCTCTGGAAGAAACCTTGAACGACAGCTGATTCCTTGGATTATCATTTTAAAATGTCTGCAAAACAGTTTAGGTTGGAAGGAACAGTTATATCAAGATGGGATTTTAGAAAGAAGGATTCCTCTTCCACTTTTGGACCATAGAGGCTTGAAAAACATAGTAGAATTAAATGGCCTAAAAAAGACTTTGTGCATACAACTATATGCAACTGCAAATCCATTAACAGAAGAGATCAAAATAAAAAGCACAAAGTTATATGAGGCTACAAGTGAGTTTCCCTGATGAAAAGGCTGGGGAAGTGGCACACGAGCATTACAGTTCCTTATGTTGTGTACTAATATGGTGAAGTGCACAAGTAAATGGTAAGAGGGCTGGAGCACCTCTGCTATGAAGACAGGCTGAGAGAGTTGGGGCTGTTCAGCCTGGAGAAGAGAAGGCTCCAGGGTGATCTTATAGCAGCTTTCCAGTACCTAAATGGGGCCTACAGGAAAGCTGGAGAGGGACTTTTTACAAGGGCATGTAGTGGTAGGACAAGGGGCAATGGCTTTAAACTGAAAGAGGGGAGATTTAGATTGGATATACGGAAGAAATTTTTTACTCAGAGGGTGGTGAGGCACTGGAACAGGTTGCCCAGAGAAGTTGTGGATGCCCCATCCCTGGAAATGTTCAAGGCCAGGTTAGACGAGGCTTTGGGCAACCTGGTGTAGTGGAGGATTTCTCTGCCCATGGCAGGGGGGTTGGAACTAGATGATCTTTAAGGTCCCTTCCAACTCTAACTATTCTATGATTCTAAGAAGATTAAGGAATATGGTTTGGAAATGGCCATAAGATCACAATTAACCTCTCTCGTACGGGCACCACTAGAGATCAAGAAAGGAAAAATTGTGTCTATGTTTTCAGAACATGCGTGGTGAATTATATAATACAGCTGTCCTATAGATGTGCAAGTGGCAGGTGTCAGTCAACCTGAGTGCTTTAAAGGAAGGAGAAAGGAAACCCCAGGCCACCTGGAAAAAGAAGTTATCTTGCTCAAAGAGGCAAGCACCAGTATCTGCTGGCATGTGGCTGGCACCCCCGGCCTGAGGCTGAGCTACCTGCACAGATCCTGAGAAACTGCTGGGCACCAGAGCAGAAACCGCTGAGGAGAGCAAGAGTGTGCAGCTGACAGATGTTACAGAGAGTGCCGTGAAGTCTGGCTCGTGGGTGGTTAATGGGGAGTTATGCCAGGGAAGGCCGAACTCTGGTGGAGATCTTTTGGGAAGAAAAGCTTGCAAGGCTGGCAGCACCAAGGTTACTGTGTTGATAACAACATGTACAGCTGAGATGATCTAGGTGGCAGTATCAGAGGTTTCACATTTGGGTATGTATGTAACAAAACTGGGGTCCATGGAGAAAAGGTGATGAGGTAATCAGGTTGTTTATCTGCAAAGCAACAAGGAGAGCAGGGTGGAGAAATCAAGGGATCAAGGTGGATGGGGAAAGAGTAAGCAAGGGAAAATGGAGAGAAGAGGGGTAAAGGGGCTGTGCACATGTAAGCAGGCTGCTGGGCAGTGCTCTTGCCTGTCTGTGCCCTGTGCCTGATCCCTGCCTTCTGTCCTGCCTTCTTTTTAAATCATAGAATTGTAGAACGGTTTGGGTTGGAAGGGACATCAAAGATCATCTAGTTCCAACCCCCTGCCATAGGCAGAGATACCTTCCACTACACCAGGTTACCCAAAGCCTCATCCAACCTTGCCTTTAACGCTTCCAGGGATGGGGCATCCATAGTTTCTCTGGGCAAGGCAACCTGTTCCACAGTCTCACCACCTTCACAGTGAAGAATTTCTTTCTTACATCTAATCTAAATCTACCCTCTTTCAGTTTAAAGTCATTGCCTCTTGTCCTATCACTGTAGTGCCCTTGTAGAAAGTCCCTCTTCAGCTTTCTTGTAGGCCCTCTTTAGGTACTGGAATACTGCTGTAAGGCAACCTTGGACCTATTCCTATTTTCTGTGTGATGAATCCTGTTACTATCACTCTTTCTGATGTGCATGTGTGTGTGTATCTCCCTGTATGGTCCCTGGCTGAACCTGCAAAGGGGAATTGGGTTGAGACAGGAGAATCATCCTGCATTCGGCTCTGGTGGATGGGGAAGGGGAAACCCCCAGGAGCCAAGCCCAATGGATTCAGCCCCTCCATAACCTCTGGGACTGCATTGCTGTGGTTATACAGAGAAGTGGTCAAGTGTAAATGAGAATTCAAGTGCATTAACATGTTAATACAGTTTTACAACACAAAATATACATCACTTTGTTCTGATTATTTTGTCTATACATTTATTTTTTTAAAAAAAAACCCAGGACAAGAGCAGGAAAAAGTCTGTTTTACTGCTAGCTATTCTGCTATTCTGTCTCCTGGTCTAGCATCTTCATACTCATTTCATGTATCAACAGTACAAGGATTTTTTTTAAAAAGTTTCCTCTGTTTAGATTCCTTTAAACCTAAATTTGTTTTGGGTTTGTTGCAGCTCCACCCATCCTCCATCCCACACTGCTGAAGGGGTCTAGATCTATCTGCTGACACACTCAGATCCCTCACACACCTTTGCCTCAGGACGTGAGTCGACCAAAATCTCCAAGTCCACATCAAGTCCATCTTCTCCCATCCTTAGTTTTCATCTAAACCACTGTCCAGTAGTTTCTGCAGCGTTCTAGTCCAGAACTGTATCTCTGCTCTCAATGTTTCTTCTTAGCAAGTGAACGTACCTAAGTGAGAGAACAGTTACTCTCATAGACTGTGTTAGTTTTAAGCAAAGACCTGTTCTGCTCCAGGTTCCTCCACCGTCCTCAGTGCTGCAACCTTCAGTACCATCAGTATATTCTCTTGCCAGTTCAGGAGGTTACAGAAAATAATTGAGAGGCCAAGTTGAGAGGCCAAGTTGAGACATTTTACTTCTGTTCTTGCAGAGATTACTTGCTTTATTGCTTCCCAGAGTTTGGCTTTTGCTTTGCCAAAGGAGGCAGCAAAGAGCTCAGCAGCTGAACGAATGATCTGAAGCAAAGCCAGCATGGAGAAGTCTTTCCAGAGGGCAATTAAGGCAATTTGGAGGCCTGGGATGGCCCACTAGCCGATGGGTGACCAGACTGGGGGAGGCTAAATCAGGAGCTAACACGGACACTATGGGTACAGGTGGAAGTGGAGCAGACATCAAATAATAATACATAAAGTTTTCTAAAACTGTTTTCTGAACTCACTGATGCTGCAGGAAGAGCAGCTGTCTCCAGGTCAGCCTTGAGTGCTTATTTTTCTAAGTACAAGCTCTCTCATATGACAGTGAAGACTGTTTACTGTATGTGGTAGACCACTAAGCACAGACTGGTATATTTATATTTATTTTTTCAATGCCATAGGTAAAAACAATTTAACAATGCCAATTACAGGTGTTATTCTCATAAAAACTTCTCATTTCAAAACAAATGATTTCTATTTCCCACAAAAAGTTAAAATCACATGCAGCTATAGGAAGGTTAATTGCTTAAGATGCACAATTATGTATCAGAAGACTTTGTTAAAATAAAAACATACCGGACTACATTTTAACAAGGCAATTACACATAACTAGAAAACTGACTCTGTAGTAAAATATAAAAATCTACAATTATAAATATAAATTTGGTCCATGGAGTCACTACAGAAGTAGCAGTATTTACAGTAAGTATCAGGTTACTATTCTAAATGTCTAACCGAAGTCTTAAAATGTTGAATGTTATGGAGAACAGTATTCTATTTACAGTCTACTATATTAAAAGTTATATTTCTAGCAAATGTAAATTGTTATAAATACGGCAAATAAATCCAATACTAAAACCATGACGTGTTTGTTTGTAATTGAGAATCCCCTAACATCTATAAATATGATAATTTTAAGTTAAAAGTAAAGCCAAAAACTAATACTGAAAAAACATACCACAATTCAATTCTTAGAAACACTGTAAAAGTCAATCAAGTTAGTCCAGACGTAACAACGTATTACAAGAAATCTTTCAAGAAAAGGCACACATTGTTAATGATAAAAGTTCCTCAGTAAAGTCATGTGTAACAGAAATGACTGTTTGTTTGAGCAACGGTTGGGATCTGATTACATACATATAGAGTGACTGGATAGATTTCCCTCCCCCCTCCCCAAAGTATAAAACTGAAAATATTAATGGTAAACTCCAGGTGTGACTGGTGTGATGCAGGTATGTGTGTGTTTTATTTGATGTGTTAATTAAACTAAAGATTCTAAACTTTCAGCCACATTTCCGTCGGGTAAAGCTGAGCCATTACTGTCCATAGATGCTGAAGGGTTTTCTTCTTGCCTTGTGCTGACAAGGCTGAGAATAGCTTTGTACAGAAACTGGTACTGTTCCTGGAGAGGAAAAGGGATATAGTCAGTATGTTGTCAGAAATAATAACACGAAATTATCTTGTAACACTGTTACTCAAAATTAATTAACAGCTGACGTGTCAGTCTGTTAATGTACACTGCTCCACAATTTCCTGTGTTACTTAGCAGCTTTATTACTTTTCTGACTAATGGTTCCCCCTGTACACAATGTAAAGTGCAACACTAAAGAACACAGTCAGGTAGGGAGAAAACCACATTTTAAAAGAAATTTTATGTGCTAAATCCTATCCTTGTTAAAGTCACTTGCAAATTTCCCATTAATTGAATGGGGTCAGGATTAGGGCTACTATTTGTCTGTTGGCTTTTTTTTTCCTTTGAATATGTTCTCATTTTTTGCCCTCTGAATTCTGTCCAGGTGGATCATTTTTGTTGTTGTTGCTGTTGGCAACCGCACAGTGACAATGCTGTCAAATGACCATTCAACAGATTGTGAAAGATCAAAGTCCACCCTGAAATGGAAACCTAGGGTAACTACTTCAGGGTCTACTGAGTAAAAATTTATTCCTGCTCAATTAAAACCTTCATTTACATGACATAGTGCAGATTTTAAGGTTATGGTGGCAGCTCTGCACATTTTGAATATCACCACTTGATAACCACATAACAGGTTTTCGTGGGAAATACTTTGTTTTGGAAAAAGCAGCAGGTCCACTACATCACCTCTGGAAGACAGTTTTGATTAACTCATGCAGAAACTAAGATGCCAAACGTTCAGTAATGTCGCCCTAAGATCTAAACATGCTAATAATACCACGTACAGGAAAAAAAATATGCACACATTTTTCTTATTACTTACAATGTCTGTAAAGACTCCAGGCCTCATCAAATTTATCATCTTTGCTACTTGGTAAACATCCACTGAGTTCTCATTTTCCAGTTGATGCATCAGTGTTGTTAATGCACAGAAAGTGCCTGCTGTCACCCCTCCATGCCTTTGTAAAGTGAAAAAAAACCCAAACAACAAAACACACACACACACACACAAAAGGCTCTAGAAACTGGATCAAGTTTCTCCAGCTAGAGAAAATACAAAATACAGGGTAAACTGACAAGATGAATTATCTGTCATGTTATCTTTACACTTTCTGAAATAGGCCTGCCCAGGAGTGCCTGAACACAACCTTACAGAACCTGGCTACAACTTCTGGAGAGTCTTAAAAGCCAGTCTGTGAGTTACTTCCCTACAATCCTCTGCTAACTAAATCCTGAAGGCCTCAGGTCCTTCAGCATTTCAACATTTCAGCATTTTTGGCCATTATTAAAAAGCTGGAGAAGGGTATATAAATAGTCTTCCTTCTTTCACTAATAGGCAATGAAGCCCTGATTGGTTTCCTCTCCAGTACCCTACTCCACAATCATCCGGAGTATCGAAATGATAGAACTGAAAAGAGAACATGGAAGAAGTATGATACAATAAAAATGTTTCTCTTGTTGATACAGCTGAAACAGAAGAGGCAGCACTATTGTTAGGTGCAGGCTTTGTGCCTCATTCCAGCCCCTTTCACTCTAAACGAGATGTCGAGATAGTTCTACAGAAAAGCATCGAAACAAACTGAAAGCTGCAGTTCTTACTCGTCATGTACAATCATGGGTCCATCGCGGTTGGAAGTTTCCTCTTTGATGATGCTGATCAGTTCAAAAGTTTTACTAATGGGACTATCAGGATTTGGCCATTTTGGACACTGAAAATGCCTCACTTCAAGTACATAGTCATCCTAAAAGAGTGAAAAAAAATTAACAAATTTGGTAAAAGAGTGTCTGTCTTTATTCTTATCCTTCACCCTCTTCTAGTCCAGCTCCTGCCTCCAGATGCAGAATCCCACCGCTGTGGAGGTTGGACTATCCTATTCCCAATGTCAACACATTACCTATAGAGGTTACTCCCTTCCTGGGTGTTTCAAGGCCATAGAATTTTATCACTCCTTTACCATAGAAAAATGTAACAAAATGTAGGCATTACTTTTAACAAATCAAGTCCTGAGTTACATGTTTATGACAGTGTTACCTGTGTAGCTTCTAAAATAAAGTCTTGGATTATGAGCTTCTCCTCATTAGACAGACACTTGTGTTCTTCAGCAATCATAGTAACTTTGAAACTCTCACAGTTTATAGGCTCATCTTTGTTTGGCCAGTACACAAATTCGTCTTCAGCCTCCAGGAAAAAATAAGAAGCCATAAAAGTAAGTAATGTTGAGCTCTTCAAACAAAACTTAATCCAACATAATAAATAATGTCACATATTTAATCAAGGCAGCCAGCTAGATTTAAATTGACAAATCATAATTTGAATGGGATTAAAAACATGACAAGTGATTGTTTTCAGACAACTCTGTAGTGATCCTGACCAGAAGAGCACTGTACCCTGTGGAGATAGTGACCCACATAACAGTCAACATGGGCTTTGCTGTGCTGTGCCACGCATCCAGCCTGGCCTTCAGGCTGTGTAGTGCTGCCCATAGCCCATGGTGACAAGATAAATGTAGCTGATGGATCATAACAGAGGAGCCTGCAGGCAAGTCCCACTCTGTACTGACGATTACACCACCTGCGTGGCCTTGAGATTACCTAAAGCGCAGGAAGAAGTTCTCATGAGAAGATTCTTTCTGTCTGACAGCAGAAATTATGATCAGAGTTGTTTTCTTTTAAGAAAATCCTATAATAGGTTTAACAACCAAAATGGGGGTAACCCTTCCATCGACAAGAGCTGCATGGCGTGATGTACCTTGATCAGAGATCTGTTCAATACTGCACAACTTGGGATTCCCAGCATCTGAAGAGATGTAAGATTATCTATACCACCCTCTCCTTCATAGTGTTAGTTCTAATAAACAGCATTTTAAATGATACTTTACAGAGCCTGAGTGCCTTTCTTACAGGGATCATAATGAACCAGCACCTCTTGGCAAAACAACCTCTCTTATTACAAAGGCTAACTTAAAAATTCATCTGTTTTACAGGAAGTGTAACATTCATAAAACATTTGATAAGAATTAAAAAAACAAATATTATCTTGGTTGTACATGTTTTTCCAGTCAGGCAAGACTCTCCAAAGCATTTGCATGGCTTTCCTCCAAATTAATTACAAAGTATGATGCCCTCTCACACTTCAAGATTTCTCTAAATACCAACCTAAAAGCTCTCAGATATTCCTGCATTTCTAGTAACTGAAAACATGCTCATTTGTTATTAAGTTACACATACAAGGTGAACACATGAGTTTCCTTTACTGTTTAGAGTCAGATAACCCCTTCCTAAAAATTTGTTTGTAACTTTAGGAGATAGGCAAGAGAAACAACTTCATATTTCTCTTCTTACCTAATAATGGCTGAAGAAGCCATATTACAACTAAAGTAAAAGTTCTGGAGTGAAAACTATCCTTATGTAACAGTTACTTCTGCTATCTAGCAATTTTTATAAATTATACAGGAATGATTCAATACCTTCTCATGCCAGTTGCAATCAGCCCAGACAAGGATCTCCAGATTTCTACTAGATGATCTGGGCATTTTACCCTCAGTACAGTACTATTAATTTTTGATTGCTTTTTGCAAAATCCAAGATATTGTCTCATGTCCTGCATATTTCAAAATGGCAATACTAATAAAATTCATACATAAACCCATAACAACTAGCCGTGAAACTTACCATATTCTGGCTATCAGGAAGCATGACTATTAGCTGGGCATTATGGTCCCATATCATTCTCCAGAAATCCTTGATAGTGTGTAGTAAGGGATGCTGGGTAATAATGAATTCATTACTTTGATAATAACCCTGCAAAACAAAATCAACAGACTCAGAATTGATGCCCAATTATTAACATTCAAAGGTAGCTTCTAGCAGACAGAACCAGAAGCCTAGAAAATAAATTGCAGACTTGCGCCTCTTTTAGCTTCCTGCAAATACTCGAATATATAACTTCCATTGCAGGATTTTCCAGATGAAAAGATGTCATGGTTTGATGTGGAGGGGGGG